CGCTGCAGCGGCGCACACGTCCTGTAGTTCCTCCGGTACCTCGACCAGTTCGGGAAAACCAAAGTCCACACCCCACTTTGCCCTTTCTTCGGTCACCCTAACCCTCCGGCCCCGTGCCCCTGCCCTCTCCGTCAAGCTTGGGGAAGCCTCGACGCTCTCATCGGCCGCCTCCGTGCGGCCTTCGAGGAACACGGCGGCAAACCCGAAGCAAACCCTTTCGGTGCTCGAGTTGTTAGGCTTTATCTACGTGAGGTTCGTGATTCACAGGCTAAAGCCAGAGGCATAAGCTACGAGAAGAAGAAAAGGAAACGACAACCTCAAGCTACTCCGTCTCTTCCACCATCGAACATCAATCAAAATCAGTAAGCAAACGAAAAGAAAAAACAGCTGCATGGAAAACAAAACATGTTTTTCCTTGAATTTATGTTTATAATCTGCAATCTCGAACCATATATATATATATATATATATGTCTCTACTATTTGTAGTAACCTAAGATCTATGTGATTTTAACATCTGATATGTCTTTTGATTGTACTTTCGATAATCCATTTATGACAATTTTAGATTTGCAGATCAAGTTGAGTGTGAGAGTGTCTGTTCTTCTTTTAGTATATTTATGTTCTAAAACACATAGGAAGTTCCAGTTTTCATCAACATTAGGTTTAAAGATAATTTTATTTTTTTAATTGTTGATTTTGTTGGATCTTCACATGAACCCTAATTTCCACAGTGAAATGATGTTAGTTTCACAAAAAGGGATGAAGAAAAGACAGGATTTGAAATGGTGTTTGAGCAGGAGACAACAAGTTGTCCAATTGTAGATATTATCTGGAATCACAAAATGTTCGATAAGCAGCCACCACAACTTGGATTAGTATATATATATTGATATGATAGGTGACAGACTAATCAATATAAGATCTGGCTAAGTTCTAACCAGTGCAATGAACTATTGAGTTACTCAGTTTTCCCTTGGGTGTTTGGGTTCCGTGAATCTGAAGGAAAAATTCATGTTTTTCTTTGGGTTTTATACATGCATCATAATCATATATACTATGTATGTATGTATCTGTTCTCTAAGATAAATCCCTAGTTTTCTCTGTGTATAGCTAGGTTTTTTGAGGTACATTCAGGTATGCTCGATGAATACATATTATATATATGGGTAAATTATAAATTTGATAACTGAATTTCACTCTCTCCTATTTCATTTACTATATTTTATTTTATTTTTCAATTTTTTGTTGAACTTAATTCATTGGGTTTAGCGTTATAAACGGGTTGTTATATAGATACAAAATGACGTAATTTTAATAAAAAATTAGTTTTTTAAACGGTGTCGTTTTAATGTCGTTAACTATTTAACAGCGGAGTGACAAAAAACTCAATGTATTAAGTTTAGTGGAGAAATTAAGACTTTAAAAGTTATGTGAACAAAATATGAGAAATGATAAAGTTTAATGATAAAATTTGTAATTTACCCTATATATAATGGTGCCTAGGAGTTTTATATCAGCTCTATTTAGGGCTGAATAACAAAATTGAGAAAATAAAGAAAAAAATTAATTTGAATTGAATTATATAGTTCAACTCAATTTTATTTATTTTATGATTCGATTTTGGACCAGTTTAGATATATAATTTCATAATTCGATTCGGTTTTGATTTTCTTTCATATGAACGTTTTTATTCTAAATCAAATTCCTTTTTAGTTTGTTATAAGATAAATTTAAATGCATTCTTAAAACTAATACTATTGTTTTTTTTTAATTCAAACATGTATGTTTACACTCGGTTAAAACTTAAAGTTTATTTTCTATGGATATTGAGTTTGAAAAATGATGAATAGTTAAAAATCATAAAACCAAATCGAATGAAATCAAAAGTTTCAGTTTTTATATCATTCAATTTTATTTTTATTTTTTCAAAAACAATTACACAATACAATTTAATTTATCTTTTAATAAAAATCGAATTCGAATTAAAAACACGTTAGCTCTGTTGAGTAGTTAACTAATTATATATATCACCAACATTAAGTAGGAACTTTATTACAAAGGGACTGTTGTTTTGACTAAAGCTGGCCATTATTATCTAATACGTTTAAGATTATGTTGGGACCAAAGTTGATACTAATGGACCTTCCTTTTGTATGTTCTGATGTAGGCTCGTAAACGAATTGAATTAATGAATTGTTTGTGAATTATTTGGTGGGAATTTTTTTAGGTCCGTATATTTATTAAACAAATGAATATGAATAAAATTTTATGTTTGTTTAATTAAATGGATGAATACAAACAAATGACTCATTCGTTCATTTACGTTCGTGAACGTCTGATAATATGTTCGTTTATGCTCGTCTGTTTATATTCGGCCCAATCTCCAGACCCATTTGAAATATTAAAACCTAATAAATTTTAACCTTAAACCCGTTAATATTTTAAACCCCGGTTAGTTTTAAACCCAAATGAAAATACTCATGCCAATTAAAGAAAATATAAATCATAAAATTATTTGGAAATAAAAAAAACTCTTCTCAAATATAAACTCAATTGATTTTATGTTCGTTTGTTTATGTTAGTCCGTTTATCATTTTAACGAACTAACACAAACAAGCTAAATTTCTTAATGAACGAACACGGACAATAAATTTTGCTTGTTTTGTTGTTCGTGTTCGTTCATTTATTCGATTAAAGTCAAACGAACGGACATGAACAAACCCTCGTTTGTGTTCGTATATGTATATATATATTTGACTTAGAAAAATAAACAAAAGGACTTATTTTGAAAAAAAATAACTTTTAGGGACGCATTTGCAATCTTTTTATGTGTACGTGTATTCCATTTTCACCCACAAACTCTCATGATGAATGTTATCAAGATCAATTTATAATAAATAAATTCAATTTATAATGATAAAATTATAATTTAATATATAATAAATTGTATTCGGTCCCTTTAAAATGATAAACTTGTGATTTAATCCTAAAAGTTGTAAAATCAAAAGCTAACACAATAATAGAATTATATATTAATTCTTTAAAAATGTTCGATTGACACCAACCCCTTCTTAATTTTTAGATTCAATTGTTTTTTAGATCCTCGTACTTTTGAAACTATATAAATTAGATCCTAAATCTCATTTTTTAGTACAATTGCTTTTTAGGTTCTTCTTAGTTTTGAAAATAGGAAAATTAAATATGACTTTCTATTTTTTTCAAATTTAAATATTTTTAAAATCCCGTTCAAATTCAAAATCAAACAAATTAGATATTAACCACATTATTATTTTTTATTTTACACTGATAACTTAAAAAAAATTTATATCATTTTATTTTTATTTATTCCACTGAAATTTTATCTTCATTTCGTTTCTGATCACTTTTGATAATTTTTATACCTTCGACGAAATTATCATACTTGTGGAGATATGTCTCCGCTAATTAAACCTTTGGAGAAATCAACATATTTTCAGAGATATTTATCCGCTCGCAACCACGAATTACAACTCTTTCCCATATTGAAGTCTCTAAAAAATTCTTACGCATGGCAAAGCCTTTGTCTATCTATTAAGCTTTGGCAAGATATTCGATAAATCCAAAAAAAAACTATCGATATCAAATCAATTATTAGACGATCACATTCATATATATTGTTAGCCTACAAATAATATGATGATCATAAATATGATATAAACAATGAGACAACTCATCTTCTCAAACACATCTTGGAAATTGATAAAAACCACCATCACTACAGTAAATAGAGTTTTAGCGGCGTTTTTTTAGTCTTATAGCGGCGTTTCCGCTAAAAGTATTTGCGGCGATAGGAAAAACGCCGCAAGAAGCGCCAGCAATATCAACGCCGCTAAAGTTAGCGGCTTTTGAGAACAAAAAACGCCGCAATAGGTCAATATCTATTACAGTGTTTTTTGAACAAACGCCGCAAAAGGTCAAAATCTATAGCGGCATTTTTGGAATAAACGCCGCAAAAAGTTATGATATATAGCGGCGTTTCTAGAAAAAACGCCGCAAAATGTCAGATCTATAGCGGCGTTTTTTGATACAAACGCCGCAAAAGAGCAGACCTATACTGGCGTTTTTAGAACAAACGCCGCAAAAGGTCAGACCTATAGCGGCGTTTTTGGACACAAACGCTGCAAAAGGTCAGACCTATAACAGCGTTTTTGAACACAAACGCTGCAAAAAGTCAGACCTATAGCGGCGTTTTTTGATACAAACGCCGCTAATTACCTTTCTTTAGCTTTATCTAATTAACAGCAACCATACATTTTAATTAAGACAAAAAACATAAAGAAAAATACTTAACAACAAAATAAATTAAAGTTTTTTTATGGAGAGAGAACCTTAAAAGACATTAAAGTACAAATGAGTTACAATTGAACCTCAAAGTGTAGATATACATGGATTTGTTGTTCGATACATCCTCAATTTCACTAGCGTCATCATTATAACCTCCAGATATGCCTTCTAAAGCTACTTTGTTTCCCACTTCATTGGAATTTGTCATATTCATCGTCTTGACATCTTATTTGAAAGTATCATTTGACAGTGAATGATCTCTCCTCAATAGATTAAAAACAAATGGGAAACGCTGTGCCAGTCTATTGAAGAAGCCGCTTTTTGTTGAAGTTTGTTCTTCAAGATTACTGCAATTACAATAATTTAGATGAGACTAAGAAGAAAAGGAAACAACCAGCAGAACTTGCATTCATAACCTACATGTGAGTGATTGAGAACTGAAAAAAGATGTTGCAACAAACAACAAAAACAGAAAGTCGGGAACCATGAAAACTAAAATATATTCTACATTAGAATGTAAAAAATGTCATCATAAAGAAAAAGGCTTAGGATCATGAAATACATATATAATAATGTCCTTTGTGTACTCTGTAGTTTGACGGAATGTACGCAAAAAGGCTTGCAAATCGTCATCGCTGATAACATTAGAACTTGCATGCATAAGATTTTATTCTCTAGATTTAGTCTGACACATATATCTTCAAGTATTAATATTTTATCTTCTACTCATACCGCTTCTGGTGCTTCAAAACCCTTTCAGACTTCTTCAATGCCTTATTACACTGTGATGTAACATGAGGCAGAAGATAGACCAGTTATCAAGAACCAACAACATGCAGTTAATATTAACACCATTGCCTAGAGGACAAGTTTCTATTTTACAGAAACTGTTACATTATCAGAGCAGTAGCCTAGATTTAAATAATTCAGATACTTCTTTAACCACAAACATCAAATATCCAATAGGTAACTGTAATGGACAGGCATGTAAAACAACAGAATAGAAAATACATAAAAGCAGAAGGAGAAAAAAAATACCCATAACTAATATTTGGAGGTAGAGGCATATTTTCAATAGTCATCTGCTGCTTCAACCTTTCTTGAGCTTCATATTCCTGATATATAGCATCAAAGATGATAAACAGGAAGATACAGAAAAGAAACATTTAAGAAACCAGTTAAAATGACTGACTGAGGGAACCATGGTTTACTAAGATTAATTAGACTATTTACAAGCAGAAAAAGGAAGCATAACTTGCCTTCAGATCAAAAGAAAACTTCTTTTGCCCAAAGTTGACATGAACCCTGCACATTTTGAAATAAATAAAAAAGCTCATTAGAAAAACTTGAAATATCATAATTGCATGATGATAAAACTATGTAATAAATATCAATGCAAGTAGTAAGGAAAAACCAAAGTAGATAAGATATATCGTAATTGCATTTTAGGTGTTTTTAACAACCAAAGCAGCATATCATCACCAGAAAGGCCAACCTACTAGCATACCGAATGAGAAGAGTTTGTTTGATTTTTCAAATAACAGAATCACTATAAGCATCATTTGCAAATTGCATATAAAAGTCACATCCATAACACATACTTCAGCCACTTTTGCATTAATCACAAAATTTCCCCTCGGACATATAGCCTAATTATAACATTCCAAAGCCAAGTTTTTTGAAAATATACATGACATTATTAACGGAGTAGGACAATATTGTGTTATATTTGATTTAAACATAGCGCACCAATTGCCCAAGGATAGGGCTGTAAACTAGCTTAGCAGAGTCTGGCAAAAGCCTACTACACTTCAGCTTGATAATTTATTAACTTGCTCAAGCCACATTTAACCTCTGTTCAGATCTGAAAATTTTATATTGAAGCCATATAAACCGACTCTGGCACTGTCACTATCATGAAATAAGTTTGAATAACCTCAGGCAACTTTTAGCTTATTTTACCCCTTAAAGTAATTTTACAAGGCCAAACAATATGTTGGAAAATGGCAGGAAAAAAGGTGTCATAACTAACCCATCACTTCTCATTCATTATAGACAAACCTCAATGTATCAATTAAATGCAACTGAAGAGGAAGGAATAGAGAAATGGCATATCCATTATTCCTATATTTCGCCAAATGCAAATATGGGTACGTTATAACAACATATAGATGAGAGAATTCATATAAATACACAATAAAAGAAGGTAAACATACTCCTCATTTTGGCTGTGGACAGCAATGGTGGGAAACAAGCAACGGTTCATTTCCTTTTCCTTGCTAAAAGTTCCTACTATTGCCCCATTTTTACTGGCATCAACATATGAGCATAGAGAATCATGAGAATCTTCAGAAATGAACAGAACTTCACATGTAAGTAGCATAGACATTTGAGCCACAAGTGCTCCTAAATACAGTGCTTGATGAACAACTGCACTTACGTGAAAAAGAATTCCTGTGAAGCAAAGTTTATGCCGCCACCAACCGTATCTCCTGTTGTATATGTTGGACCAAAAGCATCTCCCTTTTCTTGCCCACGATAGAGCCTACCATCATCCCCATGATACCCGCAACTGTTTACTTCCCACCTGACACAGTTAAGGATACTTTGAACTTAGTGTACATATAAGAATTTACGAAAAATAAAATTTTTCTTATATGTATTACATAATTAAAAGCTTTCATCTTGATTATATTTCTTTCATTCTTTAAAAATCTTGTGTTTCCCACAATATTAAAAGAGAGAATTCATTCCTTTCTCCCCCCCAATGCACACACATTCCCAATCACTAAAAGGAGATTCATTTATCTAAATATTCTGGATCTCTCACTAAAACAAGACATAAGCCCAATTGAACTGAATTACCAAAAATAGGGACCCTCGACACAAGATCATTTCTTTGACATAGGAGGAGATTTGTTTCTCTCAATATCCAGAATCTCTCATCAAAACTAGTCATAGAATCAGTTGAACTGAATGAACAACAGGCAGAACACAAGATCAGTTCTCTTTCACTTCAACTAAGAGCAACTCCCTTTCCTCTTTTTCCAGACTGGATTTAATCTTCTTATGCATTGTTTTCCATTATCAAGCAGCTATAAACGATCATGCATACCGATAAAACTAGAAAACATCAAATGAAATTAATTCTCACTTTATCCTTCCTTTTCTTTTTCTCTCTTGCTCCTTTGTTAACTAACTGAAAAGCGCTCGGTTATTTTTCTCTCTTGCTTTTCTTTTTTTTTTTCTTAATTTCCAGTTTTTCCCCAATTCATCAAACAAATGCAAACTATTTCAAATGAAAAGTACTCCAATTAAAACTGGTTTTCAACAACAGTATCTTGAAACAGAGAAGAAGAAAAAAGCCAGAGATTACCCGAGTTGCCTGCGCATCTTGAAGCCTTCACTGGTGAATCCAATAGCAATTTGACCCTTGACTCCAGCGTCCTTCACATAAATCTCGAAGTAATAAACCAGACGCTTTACAGGAACCGGGTTATTGGCTTGAACCACACCGACATCATGGCCATGGAGGCTTACGGCAGTATACTTCACCGACAACTTATTAGGTGCCACCACCAAGAGGGGAATGAAAGAGGGAGATATCTGGGTTGAATGTAAGGGGACGATGGATCGAACAATGGAGGTCGAAGGATCAAAGGATGAGAGTGGATGCGAAGAGATAAAAGGGAGGGGAGATATATTTCGATACCCATACTGAATCTATGAAATTAGGGTTTTGTTTCGATATGTTAAAGTAGTGTTCAGTAGCAATGTTTTTTTACGTAAACGCCACTAGGTTATATGACAATTGCGGCGTTTGGTATTAAAACGCCACTAAAGTATGAGTCTATAGCGATGTTTGGTATTAAAACGCCACAAAAGTACGTGTCTATAGCGGCGTTTGTGTAAAAACGCCACTAAAGTACGAATCTATAACGACGTTTGGTATTAAAACGCCACAAAAGTACGTGTCTATAGCGGCGTTTGGTATTAAAACGCCACAAACGTACGTGTCTATAGCGGCGTTTGTGTAAAAATGCCACTAAAGTAGGAGTCTATAGCGGCGTTTGGTATTCAAACGCCACAAAAGTACGTGTCTATAGCGGCGTTTGTATAAAAACGCCACTAAAATACTAGTTTATAGCGGCGTTTTTATAAAAACGCCACTACATTACGATTCTTTAGCGGCGTTTTTATAAAAACGCCACTAAATTATAGTATTTTGCGGCGTTTGTTCAAAAACACCGCTATATGTAAACAATTACCGGCGTTTACAGTAAAAACGTCGCTACATCCGCCGCTACATCCGCCGCTTAAAACCATTTTTGCTGTAGTGCTACCATCTAAAAAATATTTTAAAAAGGAAATTATGACTATTCTTTTAATCTAAATATAAATAATCGGTACAAATCAAACCATCTCGTAATAAAAGAATTATTACTATTCTTTAAAGTTATTATTTCAAGCAGTATGAATGATAAGATATGAATATTTAATGTTAAATTAACATATATTATATATTACTTACTTTAGATTAATAAAAAATAAAATAAATTGCAGATACCGACGTTTCACAAATATTCTCATCGACAATAACATATGTTATTAAATTTTCAATTAACACAATCTAAATTTTCAATTAACACATCCATCATTCTTCATCTCTCCTCTAAGGTATTTGCACGTGGTTTGTCTCTTAATCGTTGATGCTTTTACATTTTAGGATACAATATACAAATAATTTTTTCACTTTTAAAAAAATACAAAATATCTTTTAATTATTGAGTGTTATTTTGTTTAATTTTTTACTATTAAAAATTATAAAATGATCATTTGATTATTTAGTCCGTTCCAAACTCATCTTTTTTGTTAAAAAATTGATGAAAATCTGATTTGGATGTTAACCTGGTGACTGAGATATGATAAAATTTAATGTTATAATATAAAAAATTATCATATCTCAGTCAACATGTTAACATCCAGTTCAGAGTACTATCAATTTTTAACAGAAAATATTGATTTTGACATATATTAAATAATCAGGTGATCATTTTGTAACTTTTAATAATAAATGAACTCAATAAAATAACATACTATAATTAAATGATTATTTTATAATTTTTAAAAATTAAATGACTCAACAAAATATCAACTTATAATTAGCAAATGAATTATTTGTGTACTTTTACCCTACATTTTAACCCCACTTCTTGATCACGTGGGACTTCATTGATACGAGCAGGGTAAAAAAACGAGGTAAAAAGAAGCTTTTCAAAGTTGTTACTTTATGATGTAGTACTATTTTGAAACAGTTTTATATTATTAGTGGTAGTCAATAAGGTTTTATTCACGAATTGGTCCTTAAACTATTTATTTTTTTAAAATAGTTCTTAAATTATTGTTTTTTTACAAGTTTATTCGAAAGAATTAATGACATAAAAGATAATGTCAACCAATAATAACGTAGTTAGTATTATCAGTCACATATCATGTTCTTGTTGATTGAAATTATAATTATTCATATTTGAATAAAACCTTAAAAGTAATCATGTTTAATTTAATATCGACTTAATTGTAAAGAATATCCTCAACTTATGATCTTATTCTAAATTAGTCCATAAATTTTAAAACATTCTATATTAATCTGCAAACTATGACCCATTATAAATTGATTCATAAATTTTAAAACATTCTATATTAGTCATTAAACTATCATTAACATTTCATTCTGATCATTATGTTAATGTGATTTTAACTATACTGATTTTTTTGTGGTAATGAAAACCTTTATTTTTTTTTAAAAAGAAAAAGGCTTAATATAAAAATAAGTACATAAACTATGTCTCGAAAAATGTTTTAGTACCTAAAGAATTTTTAATTAAAAATAGGTGTCTGACATTTTTTTTGTTATCATTTTAGGTGTTCGGACGTTAAACGCAGTTAAAAATCCCGTTAAATGACACATGTCATGTTCTGATAATTTTTAAAATTTTATTTTAAAAAATTAAAATATTTTTTATTATTAAAAAAACTCACATCTCCCTCCCCCTCCCCCTCTCCCTTGTGCAACCTTCTCATCGTTGGACTGTAACATCTTATCAAACAGTTGATTACCATGATCGATCTAAGGGATTTTTAAAGATTCAAAACTCTAAAACAAAATCTTTCATTTACACCATTTTTGAGTGTTCAATCAGTTGCGAAAGTATGCGGGTTTTGGTTGTGGGTGGTTGGTCGATCACACATAGTTGGGTGTTTGGCCGATTAACAGCATTGGTTGCGGTTGGCGGTGGCAAAGAGATTAAAATCAAAGTTTTAAAAGTTTTGAATTTTTTAAGATTTGAAAATTTTAAGGTCTTTTAAAAAAAATTATCAGAATTATCTAAATGTGACACGTGTCACTTAACAGAGATTTTTAACAGAAGTTAAGGTCTAGACATCTAAAATGATAACGGAAAAAACGTTATACACCTATTTTTAACGAAAATTTTTTAGACACTAAAATGTTTTCCGAGACATAGTTTAGGTATTTATTTTTGTATTAAGCCTAAAAAATAATTTATTTTGGAAGGTTATGAGATTTGAACTCGTGATCTTCTAAAATTAGCTTGAGGTGATTATAAGATAGTATTCGTTAAGAATCTTTTTTTAATTATTAATAATTCATATATACTCTAAAAATATAACTACTCAAACTGAACCCATACCATTTTCATTGCTCGTCAAATTGTCATTGCCTCATTCCTCATTGCTTTCCCCCAAATCTTTTATTTTAGTAATACAGTACAAAATTTCAACTAAATATGGTCTGCTATGTCCTTTTGGAGCTTGTTCAGAATAGAGTTTGGAATTGACTCAAATCTCGTCTCCCCAATCGGTTCACCACGATTAACTCCTGCTAAGCTTTCGGCTATTTCTTCTTTTTATTGCTCTTTTTGTTTTAAAGATTCGTTTTAATTAATTTGGATTGATCCGTATTGCATATCTAATTTTGATGAGTGAGTTTTCTAACAAGAATTTTCTATATATATAAAGATTTGAACTCAAAACTTTACTTAAACAATATCAAGTTACTTACCACTTAAACCTACTATGATGATAAGTATCGACTATTTTAATTCATGTCATTGGATTTCTCTTTTAAAATGACATTTTTTAATTTCATATCATAAAATAAGGAGTCAACGATATGAATAGATTAAATATTATGTTTAACAATATTTATTCAACTAAATTTTTATTTGTAATTAAGTTGTTATTTAATTTGTAAGAATAAAATATATTCATGATATATATATATATATTAGTTTTTTTTAATAGAAGTAGCTAGTTTTATTAAAAAATAAAATATCAAAAACTATAATACGATTTTACAATTAGCATCATAAACTAAATACATAATTTGTACATTTTTCTATATCATTGTCACAAAAGACTAGCCATGTTAGATCATACAAGGATCATTCATGGAAAATGTTAAAAGCTCAAACCAAAAGATTCGAATGAAAATTAAATACAGGCAAATCTGATTGCATCGAAAATGAACCACAACAATAGATTAAGCTATTGAAATATCGCTGAGAATCGTAAATCAGAGCCGAGAATCGTGAGAAACTATCCGCAAACGTAAGATTGTATATTCAAATTCAATATGAGGGTCCAGAGTAAGGAGGATCAACATTGTTATAAATAAGCATCATCTTGATCAGTCGTGACATCTTCAAGTCCAACCTTGAAAAAATATAAAATAAAAAGCACGGCCAAATGACCAAGAAAGAAGACAAAAACATGCCATAAATGTAAAAAAACAGGTATCACAAAGACAAAAAAAATATACCATAAAGGTAAAATTAATTTTATTAAAAAAACTAAAAAAAGAGAACATACAATTTGTGATCAACATCAAATCATTGTCACCGTCGGTTAAATAAAGTTAAAAAAAACGACACAGTCTCTAGAGAATAAAAAAGAGAGATCAGCGTCCACAAACCCTAGCTTGATATATGCATTAGTTAAGATTCAATATAATTATGTAAATGTATATAACTATGAATATTCTTAAGGGGATGTGCACAAATTAATATAATTATGCAAATAATTATACTCTTTTATTTTTATCGACACTGTTTTTCACCTGGGTGGGGAAAAATTTAGTACGACTTTGGGTTTATTTCTTTGAAAATGTTTTGAAATGTTAGGAGTCGCTATCGACCTTTTGGGTTACGTAAGTCAAATACCCATAAACCGCCTTTTAAAAGAGTTTTTAAGAAAATATCATTTTAAAATATACACCGATCTATGTGTAACTGAAAATTCATTTTTTTAATAAAAAATGGTTCGAGGGTCTATTACATGTGAGGAAGGACGAACACCCCCACAATGCCCAAAATTGGTACCCCATCGACTATAAATTGTCTCTAATAGTGTAAATCTAAGAATTCAAATATAAATTTAAGTTATTGTCCTATTATTCTAAATTCAACCATACAATTTGTATTTAACGAAAAATTCTAAGAAGAAATAGAAAATATTTAAATATTTCCTATTGAAGAGAAAATAATCCCTAAAATACTTTAGGACGAATATTTATCTTTCCAACTGAAATAAAAAGATTATAATATTTTCTCCCTAGAATTCGAGATTAAAATAATTTGATTCGACCAAATAAAAAATTAAGCCAATTAATCCAAATTATATTAATCATGCTAGATGATAAAAATTTAAACTAGAATGGCAAAAATATAAACACAATAAAAAGCAAAGACCCAAAATAAATATCACACAAATATAAACGTTTATATGAAACACAATCATAAATGAAATCATAAATAACATAGGGACCACAAAGCAAGATAGCAAAATAAGGCATTCAATATGATAAAAATATGGAACATATATATATATATATATATATATACTTATAATATATGGTAATGCAAGTGTATGTACGCAATAAAAAACATTTTTAACTAGGGTATTAATGCAAATACGACAAGGTACCCAAAATCAAAACGTAAATAACATAAAAGTAGGTATTGAAATCACAAAAAACATGTGGGACTAAAATAAAAATTATTAAGCCAAAGGTATAAACATCACAAAATATTAGCAAACAAGAAATAAATACTAAAATGAAATATTGCAAAAGTTAAAGTGCTAAATAAACTAGCTTAAATAATAAAGAGCCAGAAGTAAATTACAATAAATAAAAGGTACTCAAATGTAAATAAAAGGAACTAAGGTTCTCAAATTAAAAAAATGGAAGAAAATAAAAGTGAGCAATTAATTTAAAATAAAAAACAAATTAATGACCAAATTAAAAT